GCCGTGTCCCGCGCCCGCGGCTCACCCAGGGCACTTCCGGCCCTGGGCGCGCGTCTCGGGCAGAAAGTGACGACCGGAATGGCTGAAGTCGCGCGCCGGGAAATCCCATCGCGTGTTTGGTTAGGATAGCGCTGGGGTGCAGATGTCTGTGACTCCGAAAGTAGCCCTCGCTGGCACGCACGCTCGCGCAGAGCGAACACCCTGGACAGAGCAGAGCCTTCCGTCCAGTCCCTCCAGGTGGCGTCTTGGGCGTGCCAGGCGTTTATTTTACTGGCCCGCCCAGACCCTTTCCAAGCGTGCTCTTCACGCCACTCATCCCAAACCTGTTCCGAACACGTCTGTATCAGACACCAGCCAGGCGTTCACAGTGAGAGCCTGGAGTGCTAAGACATAACTGTTCTGCACCTTTTCTTATTAACCGGCAGCCACTTGAGGAAGCACCATAGTGTGTCTTTGCAAGCTAGTTCACGGAGTACAGCTGTTCTAAAGCGTGATCCCTTCCTGAAGTCGAACCGTGCGTGGTGCGTGTCAGCCTGTGGGGGGGTGCGGGTGGGACTGGAATGGGGGGTGGGGAGCCGCCCAGGGCCGGCGCTTCAGGAGGTGGGTTATGTCCAGCTGAAATCAGTTGGGGCCTTTCAAAGGCTCACAGAAACTCAGAAGAGTGAAAATTGGGGGCCTACCCCACTTTTAGGGTTATTATCAGAAATGGGCCAGCGTCTCATCCCAGAGCGCCCGCTCTTGTCCACGCCATGGCACCCAGTCGCCTCTCTCCTTGAAGCTCCTCCCCTCCCTGGCCCCTTCCTTAGCTCAGGGTACAGGCCAGCACCTGCACTCGCTGTCTCTAGAACCCTAACATGTGGGCCTCCCCGGCGCCTTAGGGGCTGTTCGGTGCTGCCACGTGACGGCCTGAGTTCGATCCCGGCCAGGGAGGGACCCCCACGGCGCAGCAGGCCCCCCCATCTCCCCGCTGCTCCCCGCAGCGGTGGGTTTCAGTGGACCCGCCTGTTCTACTCCCCACTCTGACCCCACGAATCCTCTCACCCCCCAGCCCCAGTTCTTTCACACAAAAATAAATAAAATCTTCAAGGAAACGGAACCCCAATATGTCCGCAGATTCTGTGTGTACTGTAATCAAATCTGTCTTTTTTTCCCATCGCTAACTTGCCTGGTGTTAATTTGATGACTGACCCGCCCCAGACGACCCCAGGAGGGGCCGGGGAATCTCCGCCCCCTCTGCAACAGTAGCTACTAGTTTGAGGCGTTTCCAAGGGAACTGTAAGTTTGATATTAAGTACAGCTGTCTGGATCTTATTAAACTTTCATTCTCATGCCTGGATTTCATTCAGTTGGATGTTAGAACCTCAAATCTTCTCGTAACCGTGTTTTCCTAGCTCTGCAGTTGGGAAGAAATTGCATTTGAGAGTAAAAAGCAAAACAAGAACAGTTGCTGTTCCGAGGATTTCTGTGGTTTACGGTTTCTCCTCTCTCTCAGCTCTGTTTGACAAAGTGTGACCTTTCGTCGCCGTGCTCTGATTACGGGCAAGTCACCTTGAGATCCTGGTAATGGCTGAGTCTCCTAGGGTTACCCCCGCCAGCACTTCCCATAGCAGGACAACCTCTGAGTACTACGTGGAGGCATAAGTCATTACCGTCTTCACTCTTCTAGCCGGGGAAAGTGTGTTTGCTGTTTAGAAGGTGACATTTTAATTTTTTCTAAAAAGACATTGCGAAGTATATTTGGCAATTCATAAGCACTACAAACCCAAGCCTTTATGGCAAAGTGCCCACTTTGTGAAGACACGAATTGGTAGACATTTTTTTGTAAATGAAAAAAATGTCAAGACAAATTCTTTCCCCTGGTAATGAGGAATAGCCCAAACTTGAATTCTCAGAAGCTTGAAGGTCGGAAAACATGGATTTAAAAAGTGGAGACGCATTCGCCTAGACACATTCGAACAGGCAGATGGATGAAGCACACTGCTGAGGGGAGCAGCGGGGAGACAGGAGGGGTCCGCCGCACCCTGGGGGTCCCCTCCGGGGCCGGGGATCGAACTCGTGCTGAAGTGGCTGCGGCTAGCTTGCAGTGCTGCATCCCAGCCTGTTGCGACACCAGGGGGCCAGATCATGGCTCTCTTGCCCACCACCGCCTCGGTTTCCGGAATTGTGCCCGACTTGCCGTGCGCATTTGTTGAACTAACGAGTTGGAACTGAGGCGACCTTAGATGTGGGAGCTGGAGAGCGACGCCCACTGGTGGGAGGGGAGACTGCGCCCAGAGTCTGGAGCCAGCCCCTGGGGGTCTCCACCAGGGTACCACGATTCCAGGCTGGTGTCTAGTCGAGTGTTTGACGGGAAATAAGTCTGTCATCCCCGCTCTTGTGGGTGACAGAGCCCTTCAGGGACACGTGTGACAAGCACAGGACTCTCACGGCAGCGAGCGGTAATAGCAAGCGGAATCCCCTGAGATAGAGACTTCCGCACTGTGGCAAGTGAGTCCCAGCTGTGTGAGACCAGCTCGGCCTTTGTGAGACAATTAATCCGCCACGTCCACAGCCGGAAGAACGAAAGGCATGTGACCGTAATCTGAGAAAGCACTTGACATAATCCAGCATGCGTCGGTGGTGAAAACACTCGAGAAACGGCGAGGCCCTTCCTCAGCCTGATACAGACGACAGACAGTCGCAGACAATATCAGCCTTAGGGCGAAGACTCAGCTTCCTCGGTCATGTGAGGAAGTGAGGAATAGCGGGGCGCCTCTCCCCTCTCCCCTCAGAAGAAACATACACATGTTGGTAGGGAGGAAAGAAAGAAAGCTGCCAGGGTCTCCCCGGGAGCCCAGGGGTTGAGTCTCAGCTGTCACCCCTATGGCCTGAGTTCGATCCCCGCCCCGGAGGGACCCCCAAGGGCGCAGCAGACCCCTCCTGTCTCCCCGCTGCTCCCCTCAGCGGTGGGTTTCAGTGGCTCCACTTGTTCTGCTCCCCACTCTGGCTCTGCTGGGTCCCCTCACCCCACCCCTCTGGCCTGCACCCCAGCTCTACAAAACGCTTAAGTAAACTTTTAAAAAAATCAAGGGCATTCGCTAGTCGGTTGTAATCGGGGTCCTAGCCATCTGCACTTAGCAGAGCTCTGTGGTAACGTGTCGGATTAGTCGTGGTGCTGTGCTGTGTCACCGAGCTCAAGGGCTCCGTTTCTACCTCTGAGCTGTGGCCGTGTGACGTCTCTAGGGGCAGGTCTGTGTGGGCAGCTGCCTCCCTGGACAGGCCGAGTCATTTTGAAGTAAAGGGCTGCGTTGCGCTCGCCCTGCCAGGTGTGGCTGGAGACCGCCGGGGTAGAAAGAACTGGGAGCTGAGTGACCCCCGTGTGGTGGGGACTGTCCCCTTCAGGGCGTCCCGTGGATTCCTTTGCGCGGGGCCTGGGCAGGCGCTGGGACCCCTGCTGTGCAGGCCTCAGCACGGAAGGGCGTGAGGAGCAGGTGTGGATGCGGCGCTCCGGCCCACCGCTGCACTGACCACTTGAGATGGTTGGGCCTCTTCTCCCAAGGGACCCGCGCCCTCCACCCGCGGGCCAGGATGCCTTCCCTCGGGCTGTGCTCTCCCCCTCACGTCCCCCTCCCCTGCCCCCTCTTCCCCTCCCCGCCTCCTGTGAGTGGATTTGCGCGTGTGTTTAGAGCCCCTTCTGCAGCTGGACAGCCTGAGCTGTATCAGCACTAGCGCATCGGCTTCTCTAGCAACTGCAGAGAAGGAGGAGCTGAAGTCATGCACCAGACTCTCCCTTCCTTGGATTGATTTTCATCCAGATTGTAAAGTGTCCAGTTAATACCCCAAGCGCACTGGCGAATTCAAGCCAGAATAAATGGCTTCATTGTGAAACTGAGTGGCAGGATGAGCTTGGGCGCCCTCCCTGGGGTGCAGCCGGTGAGGACTCAGCACCTCAAGCCGGCCGCAGCCGCTTCCCCAGCCAGGGAGGGGCCCCCAGGGCGCGGCAGACCCCTCCTGTCGCCTGTTGCTCCCTCAGCCGTGGGCTTTGCCCATCTGCCTGTCCTGCTCCCCACATCACCGCCTCCGCCCCTTTGCGGTATCCCAGTTCCGTGTGCATACATAAATAATTTCATTTTCAGAAATTACCTTCTCCATCGATGGTCTCAGGGCACAACAAAAACTCAAAGCAGAGATGCGCGCGGAGCCTTCGGGGGAGTGGGGAGCCCGTGCCAGAGACTCGCGTGCCCCCGCGTGGGGCACGGACTCAGGGCCTCGGCGCCCCCTTTCAGAGGACGCCACCCTGTCTGGTTTGCCGAGGGCTCTGGTCAGCGTGGCTGTTGCGTCCATAAACGCCCTTCATAAGCGGTCAGGGCTGTCCCCTGTCTCCGGGACCTCGGTACCGCCTGTGTCTTCCTCGGGTAGCAGTTGGGAGTACAGGCCGACGCCCAGGAAACAGCCCCTGCTGCCTGCATTAGCTGCAGCCTCGCACCTCTTTGTTCCGCCACTGGAACCCCGTGACCTCCGTGAGCGTTCTTGGGGAGGCGGGCGGCCCCCCGGCCCTGGGTCTCGGGCCGCCCGCCTCCGTGCAGACTTGGGGGGCGTCTCTC